CTCAGCATCTGAGTAGCCGGAATTACAGGCACATGCTACCACGCCCGGCTGATGTTTTGATTTATTGTAGAGATGAGGTCTCGCTGCCCAGGCGGGTCTCGAACCCGCGGGCTCAGGCAATGCACTCACCTCAGCCTCCCAAAGGCACGGGATTACAGGCTGAGCCACTGAACCCGGCATCATTGTGCTTTCCAATGGTTTGTCATTCTCCCTTATTTGACTCTAAGCAACTTGAGGGCCAAAATTTTCCCAATTCATTTTTGTATGCCCAAGGTCAGCCACTTACTAAGGTCCCAGCTAATGTTTTCTGAATACATATATGAATCATATATAGACTGGTTAGAGTATAAAAAGTTTGGCAGTGTGGTATGCAATTTATTTTGCTTAAAATAATAAGTCCCTGGAGGAACAGAGACAATTGACTCCATTCATTCCCCACAAAAAACTATTCAGTGATTGAAAATCACAAACTGAATAGCTCTGGATAAGATCTACACCCAATGAACTGCACATGATTGCAACCTTTTCCTCTGAAGTACTGAGAAACCCAGAAAGAAAGCTAATTGTTGACATATCTGTAAAGTGGACTTTTGCTACCACAATTCTTTGACAAATAATAGGCCAGCACTGGCTATAGAGTTTCTACTTCCAGGAGGTTCAATTAGGGATCATTTTCCCTAAAGGATGCTGTATCCAAGCACATGGTGAATCTGTTTCCTCTTACCTGAGGTCTCCAGGCATTAGTTCTTCCCTGGAGGTGAAGTCGAGCTTGTGAAGGAGACCAGGTGGCAAATATATTGGTGAAATAGGACGAAGCAGTAATCTGTGCATCTGATATTGCTTTACTCTCCATTCCCAATGGCATGCTGCAACCTCAAAGAAATGAAAGGAGAGTATTATCAAGAGAACAGGCTGCAGCATAGGCGATACTGGTATGCCTCCACCGATACTCTAGAACTTCCATCCTCATAGCATTACTTCTCAAGCATTAACTTTTGCACAGATTCTGTTATTGTTAACATGCCCCCTGTTTTCTGATAAGTTCTTCCCAGCTTTGTTTGACTTTAATTTGCCTTGTTAACAGTAGTGTAGGAGGTGGCTGCCTCTGGGGAATACCATGGTTGAAGTAGCCAAGCTCGCAGTTTTCCCAGGACTGTGCTGGTTTTAGCACTGACAGTTTTGTATCCGGAGACAAGTGTCCTTCTCCCGGTCTCAGAATAACTAGGACAGCTAGTCACCCTACCGATGGTTGGGAGAGGGAAGTATATGGGATGAGTTGGCACTTACTGTTTAAATCACAGCCCATCAACTCCATGCGAAGAGTGCTGCGAATGCTATAATGAGTTGGGTGCAAACGGATGTACCGAGCAATAATTGGAGGGTTAAAAATATTGTGTTTTATTCCAGATGAATCCACATTGCCAAAGAAGACCTGTAGGGAGGAATTAGCACAAATACCTGGAAGGCGGGCATACAACGTAAGTTGAAAATGATATCTCTCATAGAACACCTGGGATTTTAAAAATCTGCTTGAATTCTCTAAAATAGGAATCAATATAACTTTGGTATATGATCACGTATCATAGTTTTAGTATCACAGGAAATTTTAAAAAATTGTTATGCCATATTAACAACTGTTTTCTTCCAATGGAATGGAAAATATTAATACATTTGTAGCATCGTTCCTAAACAAGTTATAGCAGAAACCACAACATTTACTTTGATAAATATATGTGCCTTTTTTGGTTAAAATAGAATGGATAATGCATGCAAACCGTAGGTCTTTATTTACAGATTCACCAGAAAACCTCTGGCCACTCCCTACGTAAGCAAGCACTGGAAGCTCTTGGTGGCCTGAATTTTATGTCTTGTGACTAAAATAATAAATGTGTAAAGCCTGACTCATAAAGGGGGTATTCATCCTTAATTTGAAATAGGTCTAGTTATGTTTCCAAATTTCCAATTTTTATAACAATAAAAAATAAGCTGGGCTCGGTGGCTCAGCCTGTAATCCCGCGCCTTTGGGAGGTGGAGGTGAGTGGATTGCCTGAGCCTGCGGGTTCGAGACCCGCCTGGGCAGCGAGACCTCATCTCTACAAGAAATCAAAACATCAGCCGGGCGTGGTAGCGCGCGCCTGTAATTTCGGCTACTCGGAAGGCTGAGGCGGAAGGATCGCCGGAGCCCAGCAGGTCGAGGCTCTGATGGCTGGGAGCGGCCACTGCACTCCAGTCTGGGTGACAGAGTGAGACTCCAACTCAAAAAAATAAATTAATTAAAAATAACTGGGCGTGGTAGCACACGTCTGTAGTTCCAGCTACTCAGAAGGCTGAGGAGGAAGGATCGCTGGAGCCCAGAAGGTCAACGCTGGGGTGGCCGTGACCGTGTGTGCCACTGCACTCCAGCCTGGGCAAAGGAGTGAGACTCCAACTCAAATTTTAAAAAAAAGAGTAGTATGAAGCTAAAAAATGTTCATCATCAGTTTGTGACTAAACTGCATGTGGTAAGCAGAAGAGAGATTCCTCCAATGATGTCCTCATCCTAATGACATGTGACTACGTTATGTTGCATGGCCAGGGGGAACTTAAGGTTGGAGATGAAATTAACTTTGCTGATCAGCTGATGTCAAAATAGGGAGATTACCCAGGTGGGTCCAGTGTAAGCACAAGGGTCTTTAAAAGTGGAAGAGGAAGGTAGAAGAGGAGAGTCAAAGGGAGATGTGACTATTTAAGAATAGTCAGAAAGATGCAAACTCACTGGCTTTGAAGATGGAGGAAGGAGACCACCAGCTAAGGAACGTGTGTGGCCTCTAGAACTAGACAAAGAAGGAAAGGAGTCCTTTTATAGAACTTCCAGAGAGAAATTCAGCCCTGATGACACCCTGATTTTAGCCCAGTGAGACTAGGGTCAGTCTTGTGGCCCATACAACTGTAAGATAAAAAAGTTTGTGTTGCCGGGCTCGGTGGCTCAGCCTGTAATCCCGCGCCTTTGGGAGGCTGAGGTGAGTTTATTGCCTGAGCCCGCGGGTTCGAGACCCACCTGGGCAGCGAGACCTCATCTCTACAATAAATCAAAAAATCAGCCGGGCGTGGCAGCGCATGCCTGTAATTCCGGCTACTCGGAAGGCTGAGGCGGAAGGATCGCCAGAGCCCAGCAGGTCGAGGCTGCGGTGGCCGGGAGCGGCCACTGCACTCCAGTATGGGCGACAGAGTGAGACTCCAACTCACAAAAAAAAAAAAAAAAGTTTGTGTTGTCTTAAGTCTTTAAGTTTGTGGTAATTTGCTACCCCAGCAATAAAAAACAAATGCACTATATACATTGACTTTCTTTTCATTTGCTACTCAATCTTTGCGCCTTGACCAGAAACCTGTTTGAGGACACAATTTATTAATTCAACAAATAGGTAATGACTACACAAATCCTAGATTCCAAATAGTATGTGCCAGGAGGCTTCACTGGTGAAGTCTATAAATGTTTAAAGAAGGATTAACACCAATCCCTCTCAAAATCTTCCTAAACATAGAAAAGGAGAGTATGCTTTCTCCCTCATTCTATGAGGCTAGCATCACCTTGATAGCAAAGCCAGACAAAAACACCACAAGAAAATAAGAGCAATTACATACAATTGACTATTATTAATATAATATTCCCTTATGAATATAGATGCAAGAAAAGATAAAACATTCAGCAAACTAGGAACAGAAGGGAAAATCCACATGACAAAGAGCACTATGAAATACCCACAACAGACATCGAACCAAATGATGGAGGACTGCAAGGTTTTCCCCTAACATTAGAAAGACAAGAATGTCTGTTTTCACTGCTTCTATTCAAAACTGTACTGGAAGTCCTAGCAGGGCAATTAGGAAACAAAAACTATTAGGAAGTAAAACTATTTTATTCTCAAATGACATAAGCTTTTTTTGTTGTTGCTGCTGGTTTTTTTGGGGGGGGGGGTTGGTTTTTTTTTTTTTTTTTGAGTTGGAGTCTCACTCTGTCGCCCAGACTGGAATGCAGTGGCCACTCCAGTCACAGCAGCCTCGACCTGCTGGGCTCCGGCGATCCTTCCGCCTCAGCCTTCCAAGTAGCTGGAACTACAGGCACGCGCTACCATGCCCGGCTAGACATGTTTTTTATTGGTAAATTGGACTACTTGGATGTTAGGAACTTTCCCCCCTCTATTTTATTTTAAAGATGGGGGATACAGATGTGGTCTACATACAGGTGAAGTTTGGGCCTCCTACTGGTTCTCACTTCCTCTGGTTTAGGATCAGGTACCCTTAGTGATGTTATGTGCCCCCCTGCTGTAGTGTCCCGATCTATCACAGAAACAAAGAACTGAACACTACATGTTGTTACTCATAAATAGGTCCTGAACATTTATCACAATACTATAAGAAAGGGATCAATGGATTGCCTGAGCCCGTGGGTCTGAGACCAGCCCGGGCAACTTGGTGAGACCTCGTCTCTACAATAAATCAAAAAATCAGCCGGGCGTGGCATCGCGCACCTGTAGTTCTGGCTACTTGGGAAGGCTGAGGCGGAAGGATCGCCGGAGCCCGGCAGGTTGAGGCTGCGGTGGCCGAGAGCATACCACACTGCACTCCAGCCTGGGTGACAGAGTGAGATTTCAACTCAAAAAAAAAGTCAGTTGTATTTCTATACATTAGTAATAAACAATCCGAAACAAAATTAAGAAAATCATTTTATTTAAACTAGCATCAAAAAGAATAAAATACTTAGAAATAAATTTAGCAAAGAATGCTTTTGTACACAAGATTTGTACCCTGAAAATTACAAAATATTGCCAAAAGATATTAAAGATGATACAAAGAAGTGGAAAGAGATCCACTGATGGGTCAGTTTATGGATCTGAAGACAATATTATTATTATTATTTTTTTTTTTTTTTGAGTCGGAGTCTCACTCTGTCACCCAGACTGGAGTGCAGTGGCCGCTCCCGGCCACCGCAGCCTCGCCTGCTGGGCTCCGGAGATCCTTCCGCCTCAGCCTTCCAAGTAGCTGGAACTACAGGCACGCGCTACCACGCCTGGCTCATTTTTTGATTTATTGTAGAGATGAGGGCTCGCCAAGTTGCCCAGGTGGGTCTCGAACCCGCGGGCTCAGGCAATCCGCTCACCTCGGCCTCCCAAAGCGCTGGGATTACAGGCTGAGCCACCGAGCCCGGCCTGAAGACAATATTATTAAGATGGTAATACTACCCAAAGTGATCTACAGGTTTATTGAAATCTCACCAAAATCCCAACGGTCTTTTTTGCAGAAATGAAAAAGTCAAACTTAAAATTTATATGTAACTGTAAGGGACCTTGAATTGCCAAAATAGTCTTGAAAAAGAACAAAGTTGAAGAACTCATATTTCCCAAATTCAAAACTTAGTATTAAGCTACAGTTTTCAAGCCAGGCTCCGTGGCTCAGCCTGTAATCCCGCGTCTTTGGGAGGCCGAGGTGAGCGAACTGCCTGAGCCCGTGGGTTCGAGACCCGCCTGGGCAACTTGGCAAGACCTCATCTCTACAACAAATCAAAAAATGAGCCGGGTGTGGTAGCGCACGCCTGTAGTTCAAGTTACTTGGAAGGCTGAGGCAGAAGGGTCGCAGAGCCCAGTAGGGCGAGGCTGCAGTGGCCATGAGCGTGCCACTGCATTCCAGCCTGAGTGACAGAGTGAGACTCTGACTCAAAAAAAAAAAAAAAAAAGGTTTCAACACTTTTTTCTGGAATATAACTAATTAATAGATTAATGGAATAGAATTAAGAATCCAGAAATAAGCCTAAAAATCTATTCGTGAGTATATGCCTTAAAGATAGATGGTCTCCAACTTATGATGGTTTGACTTACAATTTGTTGACTTTATGTTGGTGCAAAAGTATCTATACAACCATTCTGTTTTACATTTCAGCACAGTATCAACAAATTCCATGCGATAGTCAACAGTTTATTATAAAACAGGCTTCGTGCTAGATGATTTTGCCAAACTGTAGGCTAATGTGTGTGTTCTGAGCACATTTAATGTAGGGTAGGCTGACCGATGAGAGTTAGGTATGATAAGTGCATATGACACGTACAATATTTTCAATTTACAATGGGTTTATCAGGATGTCATAGCATCATAAATTAAGGACCTCTGTAACTGAAAGCAGCTGCTCAAACACTAGTACAGGAGCGTTCATGGCAGCACTATTCACAATAGCCCATAATTGATATAGGGGTCAAAATTTGCCACTTTGTATGATTTTATCTGCCATAGTTTCGATGTTTGTCCCACCAAATATCAAGTTGAAATGTGATTCCCAATGTTGGAGGTGGGGCCTACTGGGAGGTGTTTTGGTCACGGGGGTGGATCCCTCACGAGTGACTTGGTGCCATTGCAGGGTTAATGAGTCCTTGCTATATTAGAGCCTGTCAGAACTCCTTGTTAAAAAAGAGACTGGAACCTCCCTTTGTCTTTCTTGCTTCCTCTCTTGCCATGGGAGCTCTGTGCACACAGAGAAGCAGCCCTAGGCCCTCACCAGATGCAAATGCTGGCACCATGCTTCTTGTATAGACTGCAGAACCCTGAGTAGAATAAACTTTGTTCTGTATAAATTAACCAGCCTCAGATATTTTTATATGTATAGCTACATTACTGGACTATGACACCACCTGTAGGAAATCTCCGGAACAGGCAAACCTCTATGCACAGAAAGCAGAGGATCGGTGGTGAGGACCTACCGGGAAGCCGTGTGCACGCGGGGGCGCGTGGGACGAGGTGGGGCTCTGTGTGGCAGGCCCAGGCGTCTCGGGGCTGCCGGGAGCGTCTCGGAACTCGAAGGCCACGACGGCTGCACGACACGACGGCCGCATGACACGACGGCCGCATGATCAGAGCACCAAGTCGC